CCGTGTCCCAGCGTCTGTGTCCCCACAGGTCAGTGGGGAGAAGAAGCCGGTGGGCAGCACAGCGGGCATGCAGACCAGCGTGGAGACCAGTCCCCTGCTGAAGGTAGGGGGACACAGGACTCGTCCTGCCCGGGCAGGGACAGGGTGCCTTTCCCTTGGAATGGGGCTGGAGGTTGTGCAGTGGCACCCAGAGGGACCTGGTGCTGTGGGTGTCACCAAACTGTGGGACAGTGACCTTCCTCCTGTGGATATCCCCAAATTCAGGGTGACCACAACCCACCTGCTGTGGATATTACTGAATTTGGGTAACCGTGACCCTCCTGTCATGGTTGTCACTGAACTGGGGTGGCCACAACCTGCCTGCTGTGGTGGTCCCTGCTGTGGTGGTCACTGATTTGGGATGACCATGGGTATGACTGGGCTGATGGTGATGCCCCTACTGTGGTTGGCAATGATTTGAGGTGACCACAACCCACCTGCCATGGCTGTCACTGGGCTGATGGTGACCCCCCCTGCTGTAGTTGTCACTGATTTGGGGTGACCATGACCTGCCTGCCATGGGTGTCACTGGGCTGATGGTGACCCCCATGCTGTGGCAGCACCGGGCAGAGGTGGTGGTCCCCGAGCGCCTTGCCCAGATGATGCAGCACATCCGTGACTGTGACTTCGAGGGCTTTGGCCAGCTGGCCATGAGGGACAGCAACCAGTTCCACGCCACCTGCCTGGACACCTTCCCGCCCATCTTCTACCTGACGGACGTGTCGCGCCACATCATCGCGCTGGCACACCGCTACAACGCCCACCACGGCCACACCAAGGTACCCGCGGGGCCCCGGGGCTGCCACGGCACTGTGGCACTCACTGGGTCCCCACATCTGTCCCCATGTCCCCACAATGCCACCACAGGTCGCCTACTCCTTCGACGCCGGCCCCAACGCCGTCATCTTCGCGCTGGCCGACACCGTGGCTGAGTTTGTGGAGGTGGTGAGGCGCAGCTTCCCCCCCGCCACCAACGGGGACCAGTAAGGGAACCCCTGCTTACTGGGGAGGGTGGGGGTGCTGGGGACACTGGGGACACGGGGACTGAGTGCTCACCATGTCACAGGTTTGTGCGGGGGCTGCCCGTGGGCTCGGCTGTGCTGCCGCCGGAGCTGGAGGCTGCCGTGCTCACTGAGCCCGTGCCCGGGGCTGTCCAGTACATCCTGCACACCAAGGTGAGGAGGGGGCACACGGCCTCTTGGGGGGCTCTGACCCCATCCCTGCCCCCGAGGGGGTGGTGGGACCCCACTGTTGTGCCCAGGGGTGAACAGGATCCTATCCCTGTGCCAGTTCCTAGACAGGGTGTGTAGGGCCCTGTCCCCATCCCCAGGGTGGTGTGTGGGACCCCATCCCTGTCCCCATCCCCAGGGGTGTCCAGGATCCCATCCTGTCCCCATCCCCAGGTGGGTGTGCAGGACCCCATTTCTTGAAATATTCCCTTTTTGGGGTCCGTGGTGCCCAGAGCTGCCCCCCACCCCCAGCAGGGGGGTCCCTACAGGCAGTGGGGCTCCCCGGTGTCCCTGACCCGTGTCCTGTCCCACAGCCTGGCCCTGGTCCCCAGCTCGTGGATGACCCCAGCCA